AAATTTTAATTGGGTTTATTAATAAATCACATGGTTTAAGTTATAAAAATTGACCGCCATTACTTTTGGCGGGGACTGTAAGAGCTGCTATATTATAGTATCGAAAAATCAAGTGAAGAAACTCATGAAAATTTGGTTAATACAAATTTAAACCCAGATGAAGATCTTATTGAAATTATGGATGATGATAATGATATTGATATAGAAGTAAATTCATTTGGTGAGGAAAGTAATTTGATAATTGGTAATATCTTGAATTTAAATGCGAACATATTCGTTAATAATTTAGATGAGTTGAGAATTCGGGATAATCAAAATGTAGTTGAAAAAGAAAATGATGATATGAATGGATCCAATTGCTGAAGCTAACAAAATAGTTAATTTGTGTAAAATGTAAAGTTTATTTTTAATAATATATGATTGATGCATTTAGCATGATGTTATAATAAAATTTTGAATTTTCGATATAAAATCTTAATTATTATTTTAAATTTAACGTTAATAATAACTGTTGTTTATCTGCTTAGCATTAAATTTTTTACAAACTTATATATATATTGTTAAATTTGCTAATTTTTCTATTTAGAAGATTTCAAATTTGCATAAGTTTAGAAGTTACGGAAATTACAGAAATTTGGGCAGAATTTTACAATTTAACTCTAAAAGGCGAAACGTTTCATCAATCACAAAACAATTTCACCCGAAACATTAGGTCAGAATCAATTAGTAAGTTTGTCCATAGTTAATATAGCTATTTAAAGATATAAAATTTACTTTATTACTCTAAATCTTCTTCGAAAGGTCATATAACTTTGTATCATGATCAAATTCTCGTTAAATAATCCTGAATATTGCGCAATATGATGTAGGGTTACCATTTGAAAAAAATAATTGTGTATAGCGATTTGTATTTATTATATCACGTTATATTGTAATAATAAAACTTTTTAATTAAAAAATCATGTCACTAGTGCAAAAAATTTCTCTCGCTATCCATGATGATTATCAAACAGATATTTTTTATGCTAATAAAGGGTATTGTAAATAAAAGTGTTTTATCAGCTACCATGCTATTCAATTGCTATTAAATTTGGTTTATTTCCAAAGCTTTCAAGAAAGAAACTGTAAATTCACTTGCTGCGAATGTTGTCATAGAGCTTTATTCCGCTGTCCAGATTGCCAGAACTTTATCAATAAAGAATGAAAAGAAAAAAATTGTTAGCATTTTATGATGATGAATCGACCCAGTACCTCGACTATATCAGGAAATCTTCGAGAGGTTGAAAAAATGGATCACAAAGTATCGATTGATATTATAAAGTTGTCGTGTATTTCTAATTCAGCTCAAACTAATAGAGGAGAAGGCGAAGACAAGTTAAATAATGAAGTTCATAAATATTTTCCTGATGGCATCTCTCTTACTTTGGTCAAGAAGAAGATTGGAACAGCCTCGAAAATACAGTGTATGATTTATTTAGTGATATAGGCATAGATAAGATTCGGAGAGTTCACTAGTATTTTGTCAATTCCATCTCATAATTTGCCATAAACGAACTTAATTGCATAAAATACTGGATGAATAACAGTGGTTAAATATATCAATTACTTTAAGTTCACTCATTTATGTATTGTTACTTTTAGCCTGTGATCTTCTTTTCTCATAACTGATTAGACCATAGATAAATTTGAAAGCACATGAAAAAGAGATATTTCATGAACACAATTAAGAATTTAGCTTTTCGGGTGGCCATCTAATTCTCAATAAAAGTATTTTCTTCGCTTTTTAAATAAGATTCGCCCACATCATGCTCGAAATATTTTAACATGTATAGGCAACATTTATGCATTATACAAACATCAAAATTTTTCTTGACAAATTAAAAATAAATTTCGCAAATATAAAAAAAAGCATTTTATTTTAATGAGCAAGTCCAATTAATCCTAATTTTAAATTTTTAATAATTACTATATACGAAAATAAAGTTGATAATCTTGTTTTACTAATCCAAGAAATATTTTAAAATCTAGACGTACGCCAATTATTAATGGCTTCAAGAGCCTTTTGCAATGGAATCTTGTATATTTTTAGATCATCAGGAAGCGGATTATTAAGTTGCGTTTGTGCTTCCATTAAATTTTGTCCGTTACTATGAAATAAAGCATTGCTTTTGTCTCTCATCTCACGTAATAGCTTGATATCGTCGATTGTCATTTCAACATCACGTAAAAAATCCTTTAAATTTTCAATACAATTAAGTTCTTCATCTGTTAATTCCATTCCAGACTCGAGATAAAAAAGAGCAGACTCTGCAAGACGCCATTCTTTTTCTCCTAGCTTGTCTTTAACCTTGTCAATAAATCTCTTAATCCAATCTCGATAATTGCTTAAAAATTCTGTTCGATTTACTTTAATCTCTAACTGATCCAACCGAGTCCTGGTATGAGTCATTACTGCTGTTAGTTCTTTCACAACGGATATAGCTTTTTTCGTGAGTTCTGTCTGTTCTCCCACCATTTCATAAGTATTTTTCATGATATTTCCTAGTTTTCCTATGTTTGCTATACATTGATCTTTATCGTTCTCACTGATATTATTTATAATATCTTCAAGACACTCATTATTTTCATCCTTTAGGACTTCAAACCTTTCCTCTAATTTACTACCCTTTCGCTTAAAACTTGATAACCTGGTATTATAATCATTCATGATGAAAATAATTTTTTTTTTGCAGATGGAATAATATGAATAGTGTAAGACGCGAAAAGGTTGTTTATGACCGTTTATCAGATCATTATTTATTATCAAACCAATTTCGACATTTTATAACGTGTTACTATAACGTGACGTATTGTACTAATAAATTCAATTCTTAGTTGACCTCCGACCCTTTTTTATAAGAATAATATTTTGAAAATAAATTTTATCATACATATTTATATAATTATAAAACTTTCGGTCATACGTTTAATATTTTCCAATGTGGTATTTACTAGTCAGTTTTATAAAAATATTAAAAGATATTTTTTTAAGAATTATAAAAAGTATATAAAAGCTTATAATAAATATATTTTAATCTTCTTTAATTTTTATCAAAACTAATGTTTAAAATACTTTAATATTTTAGAAATTTTAACCTTATTAATGATAAAATTTATTATATTTTTACTATTATAATTATAAAATTTCTAAACAAATTGTCAAAATTATCATTTAAAAAATATCATATATTTTAAACAAATTTAATTATTTATTACCTAATTAAATTCTTTTTTATATAAATTATATATTTTAGTAATTAGATTAAAGACAAATAATCATGTATTTATAAAAATTAAAAATTAAATTGATTGTAATTGATCTATACTTATGATTCGGATTTAATATTATATTATTACATTTATATTATTTTAATTTAATAATATTTATATCCAACGCTATAATATAAAAAGAGTGCTTATTTATATTGAAATGTGAAAATGTGGGATTTAAAAGACACTACTGTACTTGTGTTGCGCAAGTGTTGATCACAAAAAATTCTCGGAAAATTTTCCCAAGCAAATAATATAAATATTCCTTTATTCTTTTATTATTTTCATTATAAATAAACAATAAATAATTTTTGAATGACATGAAAACAATAACTTGGAAATTCAGCAGAGACTAAACCTTCAACGTCGACAAGACTACTTTGGAACAAGTGGCATTATATGACGTAGAGACCGCTCATTTACAACAGAACTAACTGAACTTTCTTTTCCGTTTAACTAGTAGAGATAATAGGTGCAGAGAACTTGCATGAACATATAACCTTCTCCTTCGAGATTATCGTCAAGAAATTACAAAGTCAGGGAGTCGTGAACATGGTTTCTCTTATCATTTACATATTTACATATTAATGAATAGATTACTGATTTGGGGGAATGTCCGTTATATAGACTACGCTTCCTCTCTTTCTCTTTTGTAACTTTGATAATTTATTTACTGAATGTTATGTATTTCGTTTTTCATGTATTTCCCGATATGGTTCTTGGTTTTTTCTCTTTAAAAGTAATGTATAATAGAAGAGTAATTTTGGTCATAATCTTCTGTTGCAAATAAAAAAAAAAAATTGGGGCTGTTCGATCCAAAACTACCGCAACATAATTATACACTATATACTATATTGTAAAAGAATATAATTATATTTAATTAACATTCATGTGATCTAATTAATTAATGCGTTTGTAAAAATAAATTGATTAAATTCGTTTTCTGTACCATTATGTTAAATGTAATGCATAACGTTTCTCCACTCCATTGTGCGACGGAGATCAAATTTTTTTTTTTTTTTTTTTTGAAAAATTTATATAAAGAACTGGTTTTCCTGATCGAGTATCATAAAGAATAAAGCATAAAGCAATAAGCGCATATAAGGTATTAAACAGTACATCAACGATAATGTCTTATAGTCAACGCAGTTAATTGGAAGATTAGTACAACCGAAGATTAGTACAACCAATAGAATTCCAAATCAAGCGAATTGGTGAATAAGTTTAGAAAAAAGCAACGCAAAAGCAGCCACATACAACATTTTTTTTCCACCAAAAAATATTAGATTCGAAAGATATTTGACACGTAACGCGTTTTTACAGTCGAAAGTGACGTGAATGTAATTTCCGGCTGCCTTTGCTTTTTTACTGCTTCAATTAACCGCAGTAATACAAGCGATATTTCATCCTTATTTGGCTTGAACTTGGTTAGCGGCACGTGATTTATTAGACCAATCCTTAGTCACATGAGAAAGGTTTTCGAATATTTTAATAGAGGACTATTAAATAACTTTATTGAATTTTCTCTATCTTTGATTGTCAAAATCCATTGATATCATACAAATCAAAAGTATAGTCTTTATACATTAAATTCAAATCTTGTTGCATCTTTCAAATGGATTCATATTCTTCAATACCTTCACTCAATCAACAACAACAACAACAACAACAGCAACAGCAGCAACAACAGCAACAAGTTGGATACAGTAATAATCCACTTGGTTTACCTACAAATCCTGCTTTGTTGCAACAGCAATCACAGACACAACAGTATGCAAATAATTTTGTCTCGCAACATTCTATGAACCAACGCGTCTTGAATACAGGTATACCACAACAACAACAACAGCAGCAAATGACGATTGAAAGAAACTATGGAGCAATGAACAATCCAAACTTGCAACAGATGCGCGGGCTAAGTGGTGAGGGTGGAAATAATATGACGAATCAGTATATATTTCAAGGTCGCCAGTCATTATCAACTTCAGCAGCTGCTCCAATACCTTCGATTTCAGCTTTAGGAAATCCAATGTTTAGTAATAATATGACTACTAACATGTTAGGTTTTCCATCACAGAGTAATATCAATGGTCTTGGATTGGATATGTTTCAACAACAATCACTTAATCGTGGGATAGGACAAATGATCGGTCAACGACCGAACATGTTATCACTTCAACAACAACAACAACAGATACAGCAACAACGTCAATATCAACAACAACAACAACACCATCGTCAACAACAACAACAACAACAACAGAATCAACAGCAACAACAGCAACATCAATTGGCGAGATTGCGTCTAGCACAGCAAACACAACAACGCCAGATGATGCAACAACCAAGACGACCTGTAACGCATCCTCAGCCTGTTCAAAACCTTCATCATCGTTCTTCACAACAAAAACCAAGTTCTGAGCACTCCAAAAAGCCTCCCGCTGTCCCCAAACCATATGAACCCGCACCAGATCTCACTTCTGTTCAAAAAAAATACCTAGAACAATATGTTAGAAGAGATACTCTTTATCAAAAAGCGTTAGATATTCAACATAAAAGGCAAATGAATGTTATAGCCGAGAAACGTAAAGAAATAGCTCATGCTGATCTAATACACCAGACACGATCATCATATTTGTTTGGCACAGGATATGGAGGTTATGGAAATGGTGTTACCGGAACTCGGTTTAGGATAGTCTACCCTCATGATCGAAAAAGGCCTAAAAAGACTAAAGAATTTAAATTGTAAGTTTTTTAATTTCTAAAAATTTTTGTATTTATTACATGTTGGGTATAATTATTATTCTATTTAGTTCTCATCAACAATTACGAGAAATAGCTAAAAATGAAGATACATTAGTTCCAATCAGGTTAGAAATTGATGGAGCTGATGGCTATAAGTTACGAGATACTTTTACCTGGAATATGAATGGTACATCTTTAAGGGCATAAGTTATGAAAAATTATAATGTCACGTGAATCCTGGTAACATTATTTATTTGCATGGTTAATTTTATATTATAGAAACACTTATTACTCCTGAGCATTTTGCAGAAGTTCTTTGTGATGATTTGCATTTTCCCGCGGCAACTTTTGTACCAGCAATTGTTAAACAGATGCGTGATCAATTACAAGGATATATCTTGCATCCTTTATCTTTAACGGATCAATTTCCGACAAATAATGTATCTACTTCATCAACGGATCCATCCGAGGATGCATGTGTAGTCAAGGAAGAAAATGATAATGACAACAAATCTAATACACTAAATAATTCGGAAGAGTCAAATATCAACGAAGAATTGAGAATCCTAATAAAAGTGAGTTTATTATAGGCTTTAATAATCCAATTTGAATAAGTAATTAACAACTTTTTTTTGTTATCGCAGATTGATGTTACAATCGGCAATATTTCTTTAGTGGACCAATTTGAGTGGGATATTAATTGTCAGAAAAATGACCCAGAACTTTTTGCAGAAATTTTGACAGCAGAATTAGGTCTAGGAGGCGAATTCAAGTATGTCAAAGCGTAATTATTTTGATTACAATATTTATGTTTCTAAAACCATAGAAACATTCATACTCCAGAACGGCGATAGCGCACTCTATTCGTGAACAAGTTCAAATTTACGTTAAATCTCTGATTCTCGTGGGTCATCCTTTCGATGGCTCTCCTGTACAAGATGATGATTTACGGCAAAGCCTTTTGCCTCCTGTAACAAATATAATTCGAAGAGAAGATGCAGTTGATCAACATACTCCAATTCTTGTGGAATTGACAGAAGCAGAAATTGATAAAATTGAAAAAGATCGTGAAAGAGATGCCAGGTTGAAAAAATTATAATAACCTCTATTTTTATATACTTGAATCATTTATAATTTACTCATTGTTTTTAATAAATAGACGCAAACGTCGGCAAACTCGTGGAAGGCGTGGTGTTATTTTGCCAGATAGGGAACCTCCTAAGACACATAGAACTTTACTTCATAGCACAACTATTATTCCTGACCCCACAGATGAAAATGCGTTTATTACCCTAATATCATCTGGAATGCCGCCGGTCATGCGTAAATCAAGCTCTATGGGGTATGATAATTATTCAGCGATTTCTGAAAAATCATCCACCCCATCTCCTGGTAAAGTTCGTGGACGTGGACGTGCAGCTGGAAGTGGTCTACGTAGTAGTATAACTGCAAACTCTCCAGATATCACTGATATAAATAGTACAGGAAGATCTGGCTCAGTTGGACCAAGTCCACAGGGAAGAGAATTTAGAGACGGTACGAAAAAATCAAATCGAAGTGAGTTGGGTTACCATTTTATTATTTTTTTAATTATAGAATATGCTTTGTGAATTATTATTATATGTTAACTTGTTATCTTATTAGGGGGCACAA